TTATTTTTGATTGTCTTGAGCTTTTTAATTTTTGGGCTCTGCTATCAACGCAAAATTTTGGTGAAATTCGCATTTACTAATATCGCCGAAGAAAGTATATTTCGAGCAGGACTTCCCAATCCAATTGAAGCTGTTGAATGGTGAATTGTTGGCGGTTATATTAAATAAACATAATTATTAAGGATGACGCTTCTAGCAAAAAACTGCATTGAATTATTTGAAAAGTTGCTATTTAAATATATATATATATATTGTGGTACAGCTGTTGAATGTAGACATTTTTTTAACTGGAAAAAGCTTGACCGAGTAAGATTATCAAGATAAACACAACTACAAAGCCGACTAACTTTCAACTTTCGAGCTGTTTTATCAGCTACTAAGTGAATCGGAATGAAGCTTCAACTCAGGTCTAGCGAATATGATGGTACGAAAACTTTACAGCAAGCGCACGTTGCTCGTGGCAGGCATTGATTTTACTTTACAATGCTTGCTGGCCGTTAAGCCTAACCTCTTCAAGTATGGCATTTCCAAAAGGTATTATAATGAAACAATAGAACATACAGGAGCCTTTAAGTATGTCTAGTTCAGAACAGACTTAAGACATAGAAACAGTAGCCCATCCAGAAGCTTATCGCATTTATCGGTTCGTCACTCATCCTCCTGAGGTATATCTTCTGGGCCACCCCGGGGGCACATCTCTGCAATTGTCGCTATTTTACTGTGAACGGTTTCCTGACCTTATAGTCAAATGAGGCTCTTTCCAGCAAATGCTATCTCAACTGTTCTCCCGCTGCTTACGGCAGCTTCAACTAGTGAGGATGCTATTTAGAAACATTTCTTTTTATTCGACGACTTGAAAGTGGGGACACCCCAATCGGCCTTGGAAGGCGACAATGACCGGTATAAGTCCAGCGACACTTCTTTTCGATACTTCTGGTAGATTAAATAAATTAAATAAAAAAAAAAAAGAGCATAAATGATTATTGTTGATCATCGTTATTTTTACGTTCTGCATAATCGTCATCTTAGCACTTTCGTTCTGTACTGAGCTGGAACATCTTATCAAAATTATAACACATTGTTTCCCTGAATCATTCAATCTGAGTGTCTCTATGCTAAACAAATAGAACTGTATAAGTAAACCTTTCTCACAGATACCATGCCATGCCATGCTATAGAAATTTCAGGATATCCCTTCAGTTAAGGCTAGAATACAGATGTCGCAGTAGGCTTACGATTGACACTTTGTTGTACTACGTTACGGATGAGGCTGGATAGTGAACGCCTGTTCGACTTTTCACCAATTAGGATTTTTCAGCGGCTGCTTGAGTCTTTGACAGGGGGGGATATCATTCGATCATAAACTGAATTTCTCAATGTAGTAAAAGCATCCAATGCATTACATCGGAGCCCAATGTCTGTCTACTTAAAAGCATTGAAAATAGACTATAACGAATATACGCGCTATCCGACATATGTAGTATGTCAAAGACAAACGACAGAAGACAGAATAGAGCTTTGTTTGACAAAATCAGATCTTGTATCTACATAACATGGCAAATTTTTCGTAAACAAAAAAAAAAAAGTTCCCGCCCATTAGAAGTAGCAACGTGTCGAAACAGGTTGAACAGAGTCGAACATTTGATGATGAGATTGATCGTATTCTAGTAGTGCAATGCCTTCAGTGTTCAATTGTTGTGTTGGACACCGATCTAAAAATATCCCGCCATCAAAGAATGAAATGGGCCTTTTTTCCTTAGAACCCATGTCATTGAATTTTCAAATTAGGTGAAGTCAATGTTATGTCAGCGTTGAGGCTTCTAGACCTAATCATCTTAGGTGTTTAGTAAATTCTACTGCATCTGTCTTTGTTTTACGGCTAAGAGTAAAATACAACTCGGAAAATTCTATTCCAATGATACACTCATATTGCGCGTTTATATACCAGGAAGCCAGATAGATAGCTACAAAAAGTTGAAACTAATGATTTGAGGGGCAAATACAAAGCAGACTAGTAAAAGACACCCAGTGATGTTTGGTCCAGCCCGAAATAAATATACAAAAAAGTAAACCCCAAAAATACTACCCAACACGCGTGCTCAAATAATGGAAAAAGAAGTATCTAAGATAGAACAAGGTTATTACCTAGTACCTTTTAATTCATTCTTCTATTTGTGTTATCAGCATGGCACTATCAACCGTTATGAGCAGCAATCTCTGGAAATCGGCTAGACGAGTTGAACGTATTTACACCTATACGTCTTGCTTGACGTCTGATCCAAGCTAAATATAGTTGAAATTTAGAAAGGAAAAACTTAATGATCCTTGTCGCGTGAGCCTTTGAAAAATCATTTACGTCAACTACATAAATCTAGAGTTAGCAAGTTGTAACCTCAAATCTTATTAACTTTCCCATAGAAAATGACTAATATCAGATAAACATTGTATTCTATCCCATATTTTGCAATGTGTTGTGAAACTGTATGTTTCAACAGCGTTGCGTTGAATTGTTTCTTTTATTGTAATTAATAAACGTACAGTTGCTCAGGTATAGTATGGTACAAACATTGTTTAGGTTGTAAGGACCTGGTAATCAATCATAACACTGCTCACAAATGCAGTCTATACAACATCTAATGGCATGTCTTGAAACGGGTTAACCGGAAGCGTTACAGCAAATATTGTTTACAATGGTACTCTATCTTTAGTTCATTTAGCATTGCTACGGCTTCGTGTGGCCTATTTTCGGCTGTCTTTGTTGTGGAGCCTCTCTTAACCTACCGGTGTACACTGCTAATGCAACGGGCTTACGAGGAAGACGATACTGTAATTCAACGCATTTGCTAAAAACTATCGTGCACTCATTTTAGGCAGATCAGTCTCCTCCTGTCTCGATGACAGCAGCTAGGATCAGGGACATTAGGTAGTCAACGCCCATAATTTGGAAGGGAGAGGTATCTGCGCTGGACACGGGCTGCCTCGCGTGGCTGCAAGAGCAAAAGTGTGCACCTTACGAAGCCCATGGTTGTGTTCAGGGAAGCTAAAGGGTCGAACGATGTGAGGCATCCCAGACCGAAAACAAAAAAACATTCATAAATATCGCGTTGGAAAAAAGCTGCCACGTCCGGGTTACGAAGTCCGGGGTGCGAAGGCTGACCTTCGAACTAAAACTTGCCATCAAATATGGCCTTGGGACATGGTGTAAAAATCTCGAAGGTCTTCATAAAAACCAGAATTGTTATACCAGCTATGCTGTATAGACTGCGTTACATGGTTCCGTTTCTATGACATGTTGACGCTTGATAGCGAAACGAAGTTAATGGTAAATTGGCATTCAGTGTAATTCAAGTATATAGATGTATAGTTTCGATATCTTAGCGCAATGCGTGTTAGGCTGATAGGGATAATGCTAGAAGGCTAATACGCTGATAAATGGTGCCAAAATAGCCATCTGGAAACGAACGAGTCTTTAGCGAACTCTAGGGTAAATATTAGACTCAGGAAGTAATACAATCGGCAGTATTTCGCATAAGTCATATTTGTCTTCGAAGATTAGGACGCTACAAACAGCAAATAATAACCCATTTCTTAATTATTTAGTACAGTATTTAATTCGCCAATACACCGTACCATTTGCACTTTGTTTCCCCAATAAAAAGGCAAAATCAACTTCGGGTGCATTAGGCCGGTGGAATAGGCCTTACCGAACTCACATTTATAGAAAAATTTCGTAGTGCGTTCATTTTCATTGTTAAATATCGAATTATCTACTAGGGTTTGAGAGTTGGTCGAAAATGGGTTCAATGTTATTCTATCCAATGCTCGTATAGTTGTACTGTGCCTTTTTCGTTCCGTGCTTTCTTGACTGATAGTGGCAACGCTAGAAGCGTAGCTTGTAGCCCAAGTTTAATAAAGGAAACACCTAACTGACCAGAAGTACGAGCAAATTACACTAATATAGATTATCATGCACACTGTATACCTTTCACTTAATTCTGAACGTACTAGGATATTACGCCAACCTTGATCTTTAAACTTACTCTGCCTGTTATCGTAAGTAATCCTACCGCTGATCCCCGATCTCCCAAAGCGGAAGCCGGCAGTGAGGAAGCGATTCACGAGCCGCTACGTGATAATGCAATAAGCGCGAACCGAAAAGGCCATAATTGCACTATGTGGTATATGCAGGTCCTTATCTGAAAGAACATCTCATATTAAATAAGTGTTTCTTTCCTTTTGTCAGCAACGTTTACCTCCCACAGTTTGTTCTCTAGCCAGCGGTTGTGCTGCATTGTTATATTAAGACCGCACCGTTCGCTTAACGTACTGTGGGTGTCGTTTACCCAGCAATGTGTTACTATGCATTTAGGCCGCTAATCCGGTCAATAGACAGCATCCCGTGGGCAAACTGGGGGGCCCACCAGAATTCAAGGCTAGCTCAAAGCTTCAGCCAGGTGACAATGTAACTGAACTGACCGTTCAGCTATACCCCAAAAAGCTTTCTCCTTCAGAGCTCCCCAAACAGCGATCAACAGACCTGGCGGGGTTCCGGTCGCTGAGGATCGTTCACAGAAGTATTCGTTAGTGATTGGGCAAGCAACAATTAAGCTAATGAATGGGTCACATACAACGACGACGGCCATTGCAATAATAATGAACAGATGACAAAAAGATGGATGTGACATCTGTGGGGCACCAGTACAACAACAGTAATAACCATGACAATGCGGAGGAGAATAAGCGATCGTATAGACATTGGCCGTAACTGAGGTAGCAGTTGAGGTGTCCGTTCAGTTGCCTTTTCCCTCAGCTCTTTAGCTAATTTCACAATTAAAGCAACAAATGAGTGAAGTCGTGAAGGTAAGAGCGCATTGTAGGGGATATGGTTCCATATGGGATGACATCTATTCCCATCGTCGTTTTTGTTGCGGCGGTTGGGTCGTGGTAGCCATTCGACCACCACAGCCAACTAGTGCTTATAAAGGGAGGTTATCCACCATTCGATTCTGTTATTTGTCGTTTAAACCGCCAAAGAGAAAGGCACGAGGTAACTTTCCTAACGTGCCCATATCAAAGCCAGTTTGTTTGTGAGCTGAGAGATAGAATCGAACTGTTGGGCCTATGTGTGCGAATGGTACCCCATTCGGAAGACCCATGTGCATACACACGGATAGTGTTGTTTGTGCGTTTTTATATTCGATCTATTAATCGGTTACCGATATTTCTAACGGGGCTCAGAGATCGACAAAAAACGTGATGCGTACGAAAGGGACAACCATATGCTGAAATTCCCTGGCATGAACTTTGTTCCTAAAGTCTAAGGATACATTTGCGTTGTGCCTGGTAAACATAATGCAGTATTAGGCTTATATATTTCGAGCCAAACGCATTTGTTAGTTTCCCAACGAGGGCGAAATTTGTCCGGTCGCAAGCAGTCGTACCGTTCAACGAAGCAATGGCCAGATGGAAAGCGATAGGCCATGCTGTTATCGTCGCCTTTACGTGCTACTTCAACTGCTTACCACAGGCCGCATTGGCGGCATCAGAGGCCCAGTTAAAGTTTCTTCCAGTACTCGCTGCGTCCTCGACTAGCAAAGAAGATAGATTCCGTTCTCCGCGTGAATTCAATGGTCTTTTAGTGAATAAAAGTCGACCCCTTAATGCGACTATTGACGTGGCTATGCGGAAACAGATTATCGGTCCTGTTGAACATTACACAGGTAAGAACTTTCATTCGTCTCCTGCAGAATTTGTTGCTACTGGATGCGTACAACATGATACCGATATATATATATATATATATATATATATATATATATATATATATAACGAATGATATATAACAAAATAGTTGGTCTCAATTCAATGCAAGAGCATACCGATTATCACGAGAGCCACTTTACCTTTAAGGATGACAGTTCACTATAATGACAATAAAGCATAACGTTAAACACAATATTTTTTAGGCTAAATAGGCCAACAGCAATTTTTACCATTTTTTTAATATTGGAAATCTGCTTTACCTCAATTGGTATATTGCTTAGTCTCCTTTAGGGGATCGATTCTCCTGTGGGGGGGTAAACTATCTTCTGTAAATAATGATACATTTTTTAAAAAAGGCTCTTTTCACCACTTTCAGGCCAATCTATGTGTTTTATGTTTAAAATAGGTATGCGAATGCAAAATTCACAGTCAATCATATGGACCAGCTAAGCAAGCTGCATTGACTATTTATTTTATAAATAATTGTCCTTCGCTGAAAACCGTACCCCCGTCCTGGCTGTTAGCTAAACTGGCAAAAAAACTGATCACGGACAAATCTTCACATAATCGAAGAACTTGAATATTTGAATTAATCATGATATGGGTCCTCTTCTGCCTAGCGTCATGAAGATAGAATTATGCCATTTTACTTCGAAAGTCGTACCAGATTTACGCCTTGCGCTTTTTATATATTTGTGCCAACTATCTATTACAGTTTTTGACGAACCCTTCGCGCAAAGTAGGTAATCACGCAACAACCAAGAATGATCCCCTAAGTCCGTTTTGCCTTGATTTGTTCCTATATAAGATAACCGTGTATGTTAGTATGCGTTTTTTTGCATGATTACTAGTGAGACGAGTCTTCGTGGAGGTTCAGCTAGTGCGTTGCAAAAATAAATGAAAATAATGCCACTTCAATTTTGGTTCATAATATTTTTTCTTGGGACCAGCAGGATTAACGAAGTTGCAAAGCGGCCTCATCCATCGTCGTCCTAAATGCGGCTTGATTTTCTTAACGGAGAAAGCTGGGGAGTCAAAAATTGTCATTGGAATACATACATCGATAGTCGCAAACAACCATTATTGCGGCAGGTCAATATGGCGGACCTTTGACGGTAGCCCTGAGGGTGGATAAGCATTTAGATCTGTATCATACTAGATCATACTTTTCATCATCGTTTTTGAGCTTGCTATGTAATTGGTGGTGATTTAGATCGACTATCTTAGTAATAATCTCAAATTCCTCGTTACAACATAACATTGAGCGTCGTATATGGTGACGCAATTATTAAGGCATCAATAGCAAGCATCCGGTTCCATGCCCCTAACTAGAACAGATTATGAACGCTTATTTATAGCGTATATAACTTAGATATTTACAAGTACTATATTGTACTGAAACCGTCAATTTAATACTTTGACTAGAACTAGGGTTGCGGATATGATTAACATTGTTCTTGTCAAATTTAGGTCTTACTGAGGCCGCGGCTACGCACTATCGTCAACAGTCTCAACAGGAAGTAGTCCGCAGACAAGAATCTTTCAATTTTGGTAGGTATTAACGAAGCTTTAGTGTCAGTATTATCTATTATTGCCTAGAAATTCGTATGCTGTATGCAGCTCCTAATGACCAGTTGTGACCTGATTTTTTAAGCGACAATGGCGGCCTCTCAAAATAGCCGACGAACAAGGCACTTTTGAATAACTAGGCCTTTTACGCTTTCAGTAACTAGCCTTTTAACCTCCAGTTAGCCCAGTAACTAGATTTTTTTGGGAACAATACACTTTTACGACAATCAATAATCAGTGATGATCGACTGTGTGCCTCAACGAAGACCGTATATACAACATATTCAGCATCAGCTTGTTGAGGCGTCTGACGACTTTCGTCAGGTATCGGACCAGGCTGAAACAGAGAGAGAGAATACAGGCCTGGACAACTGAAATCACTGCCATCAACCTGGCTGAGTGACAAATACAACTATACGACAGCTTATCCAATGGCAAGCATTTGTCAACGTTGGCTGGGCTAAGTCAGTAGAGATCAAAGTGCGGGAG